TAGGGTGAATAAAAAACAAAGCATCAACACTGATCAGTTTTAACCCATTCCACGATAGCTGTACTTCATTAAGATCCTGTTGTGTTTAAGGCCTACATATGTGATCATTCTAGGGCAGAGCTGCCAGCAGATATTATCACTATTTCATATAAAGAAGCTGGAGTTCAGAGACATTAGGTAACCTACCTAAGAACACACAGCCCATACATGGGGCATCAGGGGTTTGAGCCACTTTTGAGATTTAGAAATACAAGATCCTTTCACCTCAGTTTCATCTTCTGGTTGTACCTGCTCTTTCTGCTATTTTGTCTAGGTCTTCTTCCCACCTGGGCCATAATGAAATGTCACTGAATTCCCCTCAGAATTGGGTGGGCCCTCAAAATTCATTTGTCTCAGCCAAAGTACAGGGACCCTTCATGAATATACTGCAAGAAGGCAGCTTCTGTTGGTTCACCTACCTTCTGACTCACCAGGCTGCTAGGTCCATCAAAATTCTTGTGGCCCTTTCTAACTTTCATCTGCTAGGTCTGATTCAGTCTTTTGATGCCATCCAGAAAAATCCTTTAGCTGCATGTCTATCCTCACATTTGGAGGAAACCATCATGTGATTGCTGTGCAAGCCTTTTTCTTTTCCAAAGGAACATCCTTGATTTCTTCAGCAACTCCTCCTTGAAACTTATCTCCTGTAGGTCTCCCTGGTGGCCTAGGGGTTAAGTCTCAAAGCTATCACCTCTATGACCCTGAACTTGATCCCAGACCAGGGAGCAACAGTCCTCTCCTGTCTTGCCCTCTGCTCCCCTCAGTAGTGTATTTCAGTCAATCTGCCAATTCTGCTCCCTACTCTACCTCTGGTGAATCCCCTCACCATGACCCCCACCCCATACCTCTGGCCTACACCCCAGCTCTTGTATGCATAAATAAAAAAATAAATCTTTAAATAAATAAAAAAAAACCCAACAACTTATCTTCCAGTCTTTCATATGTAGGTATCACTCTTCTAAAAGTATTTTCACGTTCATGGGCTAAAATATAGCATATACAAGTGCCATTTTATTCCTGAAGTTCTCACCAGTGGGAATTGAGGGATCAGCTGCAGACTATACCCGCTATTGGCTATCAACCCCACTGTGTGCTCTCACAGTGCAAGGACCCCCAGGTCTGAGAACTGCTCCAAAACACCACTGGAATCCACATTTATACTTGGCCTACACAATAGAATACTACTCAGCAATCAAAAAAGAAAACCTCATGCCTTTCACAGCAACATGGATGGAGCTAGAGGGGATCCTGCTCAGTGAAATAAATCAGAAGGAAAAAGAAAGATATCGGATGGTTTCACTTACAGGAGGAATATAGGGGAACCAAATAAGACATAGGGGAACAATAATAACAATACAAAATAAAAAAAAAATAAACAATTATAAACCAGAGATATCCTATAAGGGAGGGGGAGGGACCTGAGGGAAGAAGAGAGGAGCACAGGGGACTGTGGTGGTGGTACATGGGTGAATTGGGGTCTACATCTGCGGGGGGAGTAGACATTGTATTACAGTTAAAATGAACAATAATGTAAATATATAAATAAAAAAAATAAAATAAATATACTTGGCCTAGACTTTGTACTTGCATTCAGTCAGTTCTAGTTTGTTGCTTTTACCTCTGGCCTATAACCTGATTTTGTCATGTGTAGTATCTGAGCTCCCTTCTGGCATCAGGACTCTAGACATCATGTACCTGCTCTTAGCTCCCATGAAAGCAACTATATTTATTCATTTATAAATATTTTACTTTTTAAATTTATGTATACAAGAACTAGGGTACAGGCCAGAGGTGTATGTGTGAGGGGGGTGAGAATATTCACCAGAGACAGAATAGGGAGTAGAACAGGCATTCTACTGAAATACACTGGTAAGGGAGCAGCAGGTGAGACAGGAGAGATCTGCTGCGCCATGTGGATCATCTCCCTGGTCTGGAGTTGGAATAGAACTCATGCTGCAGTAGCTGCCAACAGTCAACTATGCTGTGCTTTAACCCCTTGTGCCACCAGGGAGGGCCCCAGCAGCTATATTTAAATTGTACATGGCTTACCGGTATCAGGGATACCTTTGCACATGGCTTTGTAATCATGTTGTATCAGAAAGCAAATTAGAAATCATATGATCATTTTGTACGTGGGGCACCTGAGATTCAGAGAAGACATTAGCAGCCTAAAGTCACACAGCTCTGTGACTTATATTGATTAGTTTGTCACCTATGAGTTTGGTGTCCTGTGTTCCTGTGGCTGTGTCATCCTGATTTTCCTCTTCCCTGAACACAGGCAATACCGAAGCTATGTCTGGCGCACTGCTCACCTGTTCCAGGGCCATATTTGGCACTGTGGGTCCAGCCTGTTGCCTCCGTAAAGCCCAGTTCCCGACAGAGGACATGGGCAGCCTGAAGCGTGAAGTCATCATCACATATGGTGCCCCATTCACCAGCTCTTTGTATCTCTACTCGGCCCTCAAAGGGCTTTCTGGGAAAACCGGCCAGCCTGAATCGCAGCCCCTGGCTCCCGGCCTTCTTCTCTGGGGCTGTGGATGGGGATGGAGATCCCATACAGGAGCAGCACAGCAGGAACAGCAGCAGCCCCAGTGGGCTCCACTGCCAGGGACTGACAGGTCGCATGGCAGGGAAGGTCTGCCAGAGAAAATGTGCGAGAGAAACTTAGATTGAGCCAGGCCCAGAGCCAGAGCTCATGAGAGGAAAAATGACAGCAAGATCAGAACAGACAGTACAAGAGACCCATCTAGGGACTAAGAGACAGCAAGGAGAAACACACTAAATTAAGAGCAGAAACAGAGTCAAAGAAGCACAAACTGAGAGACCCAGAGTTGGGAAAAGAGTGAGGGTGGGAGGAAGAGACAGGGAAGGAGAGGGGAGGAAAGGAGAAGGGTTGAGAGAAGAGAAGAGATGCACCAATTAATTCTCCCTTTTGCAAAAGAAAATCCCGTTAGTTGTTATAAAGCATAAGGTTTTTCTTAGTTTTGAGACCATAACTGCCATCACCCCTACTCACCAGTCTAAGAGACCCAGAAATCAAAAGGCAGTGATTGGAGACCAAGAATCAAAAAATGGTCAAGATAAATAGATAAGAAATAGAGAAAGAGACACTTACAGAGAAAGACCCAGACAGACAGGATGTGAGAGGAAGGAAAACTGTGGGAAGGAGAGAAAGCCAAACAGAAAGACAGCACAGAGAAATACAGTGGTCAAAAATGGATAGAAGGTGAGGGAGAGAACCAGATGCACAAAATCGAGGAATAATAGAGAAGAACAATAGGTGAGGGAGAGTGGGTTGGACAGAAGCCAAGAAACACAGTCCAAAGGAACCCAGATGACCCTATTCACTCAGTCACATAGATGACTGCTACTGACTGGAGAGAGGCCTAGGAGATCCTGGATCTCAGGTCACCTTAACGAAAGCCAAGCTTATCTGGGCAGATTCTGAGGCAGAGAGGGCAGAGATTGGAATGCAAGGAGAAGGGGTGCACAGCTAGCCAGCACTAAGGCTGTCACATGTCTACAGGCGCAAGGGGCCCAGGCCTCAGGCCAGGATGGTGGTAGTGGGGGAAGTGGGATTATCCAAGCCTCCTGCCAACATCACCATTGCTATCATGGAGCAATGGGAAGGGAGGCCAGGCTTCCTACTGGCCCCTCAACAAGGCCTTCCCACACTCTGGGACTGAGAACAGCCACTCTATCGTGAGGGGTCTGTCCCCCAAAACATGCTTCCCCCAAGTTTTATAAACAACACTAAAGAAAAGGTTTCTTCTGGAGACAGTAAGAATTGGGGGCCCAAGGGTGGGGCCTCACAGAAGGGCCCCCAGGCTTTGGGATTCCCGGCTGCCCTATTTGGAACACTCTCCCACAAATATCTGTCCCCTCTCCCACAAATATCTGTCCCCTCTACACGCGTTTCATATCTCACTCTTCTTTGACAATAATAAAACCGCAGTTGGTAGGCTTCCCCTCGACTCCCTCTCACATCACCCCTTTTCCCTGGTCCCTCCACCATCCTCAACATCCACAACTTCCCTTCCCGCAGGCGGCAGCGTGACTCTCCCTACCTTTGGCTGAGCGGTGCCCTAAAGGCTGGGAGAAAAGTCTTGCTCTTGGAGAACAGTCTTAGGACTTCCAAAAAAAAAAGTGCTCGGCCAAGGGAGACTGGAGCCCCCTCTCTCCCCCCTCTCCTTTCGTCCCTCCCACGTCCTCCGGAGCCCTCCCACATTCCGCCTTCTCCTTGGATTCTAGCCGGGCCAGTTCCCTCCTCTTCTCTAGGTCCTCCCCTCCCCCGGGGAGCTGGCCACAGCCGCCCCCCTTCTCTCCTCCCTACTCCACCCCCAGCACAGCCAGCCAGACTCAATGAAGCTTTCTTTCCCCGCCGACTGCAGACCGCGCAGCTGCGACCAGGGCCCACAAGAAGCCCTGGGGCCGACGACCGGCCCCGGTGGCAGCCCCTGCGGCGGCAGGAGGCCGCGGCTCGTCCCCGGACTCCGGGAAGACTTTCAGTTCCCAGCCCCCACCCTGTCCCCTGCTCGGTGGAGAGTAAACAGTCCTTAGGGCCGGGGGCGGGCCCAGTTTGGGGAACTGAGGCCCTGAGCGCCCACGTGGCCCCTCTGGAGCCCCAGCATGCCCGTCGGCATTTTCGAGGTGATGTCACGGCCTGCACTCTGATGTCACGTCGGGTATATGACATCGCGCGCCGCCACCAAGCTCTGGAGCCTGAGCCCGGTAGCTGAAACCCCGAAGGTTCTCTGGGTAGTGCGTCACGTGCGCGTCCCGGGAAGTGGCGGGCGGCCTGAAGGTGATCTAGGGACCCCTTCCCCTTCCTCCTAGCTCAGTTCCCTCCCCCTTCCCCTAGCGCGGGGGCCGGAGGCGGCTGGGGAACGCCCCCGGAGGGCCGGCCCCGCCCAGGCCCCGCCCAGGCCCGCCCCCATCCCGTCCGGCCAGGAAGCGAGGAAGGAACCGCCGGGGGCCATGGACGGGGCGGTGATGGAGGGTCCTCTCTTTATGCAGAGTCAGCGTTTCGGTACCAAGGTAGTAGGGGGCAGGGGGTGCCGAACCCCAGCAGGTACAGAGTGGGCGCTCGAACCCAGAAAGAGGGAGGGGGCGGGCAGCGGGTTGGAGCGCGGCGCCCGCTCTGGAGAGCGCTGTGACGTTCCCGCGAAATTGCTTTGCACACTCGGGAGAGGGTACGCCCTCTCTGGTCCGGGAGAGCCGGAGCGGCGGCCTTTTTGAGGAAACTTCGGCCCCCGTTGGGAAGTCTCAGACGCGAAATCTGCTTGCGTCCTCCTCCCCTGCCCCGGACCGGGCCGCCGGTGCTGCCCGCTGCCTCTCCAGCTCTCGCTCTCTCCCCAGAGATGGAGGAAGACCTGGGCCGTGCTCTACCCCGCCAGCCCGCACGGCGTGGCGAGACTCGAATTCTTTGATCACAAGGGTTCGAGCTCCGGAGCCAGCCGAGGGGGCTCGCGCCGTCTGGACTGCAAGGTGATCCGTCTGGCCGAGTGTGTGAGCGTGGCCCCGGTGACTGTAGAGAGCCCCCCTGAGCCCGGCGCCGCAGCCTTTCGCCTGGACACCGCGCAGCGCTCGCACCTGCTGGCGGCGGACGCACCGTCCAGCGCTGCCTGGGTGCAGACATTGTGCCGAAATGCCTTTCCGGTGAGAGGGCCGACGGTGCGGGCCAAGGGTTGGGGCGAGCCGCACTGGGCCCCGAGAGGCGACGCGGGTGGGGGCAGTTTCTGCGGTAGAGGAACTGGACAGGCTCCGGTCCTGGGAACTGCGTTGACGGAATCACAGGGTCTGTGGTACTTTCTCTTTACCTCAGAAAGGCAGCTGGACCCTGGCGCCTGCCGACAACCCACCCAAGCTTTCTGCCCTGGAGATGCTGGAGAACTCTCTGTATAGTCCCACTTGGGAAGGTAGACATCAGAGAAGCCCCAAAAGGGATGGGGTGGAGAGGAAGGGTGTCTTTGGGAAAGGGGTGGCTAGAGCGCCCAGAGACCCATGGGGAAGTAGGAAGGTCCTGAGAGCTGGCTTCCAACTGAGTACTTGAACAATCTGCTTCCTCAATACTTCCCCATCCATCCGCGGTCAGTCCAGGTGCCATCCCAATTGTGCATTCTTTCCAGGATCCCAGTTCTGGGTAACCGTGCAGAGAACTGAAGCCGCTGAACGATGTAGCCTGCATGGATCCTATGTGCTGAGGGTAGAGGCTGAAAAACTGACTCTCCTGACAGTGGGTGCCCAGAAACAGATACTGGAGCCCCTCTTCTCCTGGCCCTACACTCTATTGCGGCGTTATGGCCGAGACAAGGTGTGATGGGGGAAGGGGTTTCTCAGGGAGGGCTGGCTTTGGGGCCCAGTGGCTTTGAGAGGTTGGGGTAGGCCTGGATGGTAGGCAAGCCCTGCTGTCTGGATAATAATGTTCTTCTTTGTTTCCTCTTGACCCACCTTCCCCAGATAGTCTCCTTTTTATAGATCACATAACTAGTTCAGGCCCTGTGACTCATCTTCTCTGGGTAATAGGTTTTTCTTCACACGCTCTACAGGTCATGTTCTCGTTTGAGGCTGGCCGCCGCTGCCCTTCTGGCCCTGGGACCTTCACCTTCCAGACTGCACAGGGAAATGACATCTTTCAGGCAGTTGAGTCTGCTATCCACCGGCAGAAGGCCCAAGGAATACCTGGTCATGGGCAGGATGTTCTAAGAGCTGATACTCATGGAGAAGTGGCAGAGGGGAAGTTGGCTTCCCTTACTGGCCCCCAGGAGCCTCAGGGCAGCCCTCCATCCCTGTATGCAGAACCTTTAGACTCCCTTCGCATTCCTCCAGGTCCTTCCCGGGACTCCTTATACTCAGATCCCCTGGACAGCACCTCTGCTCAGGCAAGGGAGGGGCCACAGAAACCTCTCTACTGGGACATGTACGATCATGTGCAGCAGCAGTTGCTGAAGACCAAGCTGAAGGACCCCAAAGAAGACCCCATCTATGATGAACCTGAGGGCCAGGCCCCAGTTAGTCTGCGGGGCCTCTATGATCTGCCTCAGGAGCCCAAGGATGCTTGGTGGTGCCAGGCTCGAATGGTGGAGGAAGGCTATGAGCTCCCCTACAACCCTGCTACTGATGACTATGCTGTGCCACCCACTCGGAGCACAAAGCCCCTCCCAGCACCCAAGCCCCGGGGTCTGATCATCTCTGAACGTGGCACTCCAGTGGGCAGTGGCCACAAAGGTGGCAGCTCAGACACTGCCCTATACAGCAAGGTCCAGAGGACTGCGGCCTCAGGAAGTTGGGACTGTGGGGTCACTAGAGCAAGGACTGACAGGATTGGTGTCAAATCAGAGGGCTCCACATGAGCAGCAGGGAAAGACTGGGGGCGCTGTCATGGGGAGGTGACACTGGGGCAGATCTGTTAGCACCCCTGGGAACCACAGGGCTTGGTCAGGCCTGGGGACCAGAGGGATTAGGAATGTCAAGGGAAGGATGATCAAGAACTAGAAGTGAGACAGATGGCAGAAGCTGAGGAATGGAGTTTTAGGGAGGGCAGCACCATCCCTCCTTTTCAAGGAATGGAGAACCACTGTTGGACCAGACCTCTGGGAAAGGGGTGCCTAGTCAGATTAAGTATAATTAGAGGAGCCTGTCTAGAGGCTATAGGGAGTTGATGGTCTGTGCCTAGGTCCTTAGCCCTGCATTGTTCTTTGTCAGAGATATATTAAAATTTTGGAAAAAACCTCATTAAAGTCAGTTTGGGTATAAGAGGTCTATGTGTATGACTAGTTCCAGAGGGGACATAGTGGCAGAGTGTGCTGGGTGGGTATGGAGGAATGTGTCGGGGACTCTGGAAGGAGGCAAGGGCCCCAGGGCGGGGAGCAGAGCAGAATGGTCCACTCAGGTCCTCCTGGGCTTGACCCTGTCTCTGTGACCCTAGGGGAGTTGTATAATAATTCAGTTCCCCCAACCTTTCTATAAAATGGGAGAATTTAATTCTCCTTCATAGGGTTGTTGAATGAAAGGAGTAAAATTTCTCAAGTATTTAATGCAACTTGAAGCACAGATTAAGTGTTTTATAAGTGGCAGTTATTCCATGGATGGAAAGGGACTAGGGACTAGGTCTTTTCCAACCCATCCTTTTCCCCTGTTCTTAGCGATCAACACCCCACCCCCACCCTCCACCCCCACACACATCCACATCTGCAAGCCCCACACAACCAGGTAGGTACTGAGCACCAACCTCTCCTGTTTGGAGTCTGCAGAGACAGTGTGGTGGGTGTAGTGAGAAGTGTAGGGCTTTGGAATTAAGCTTGGGTTTCAGTCCTGTTTGTTTCTATGAGTTTGGAAAACCTCATCATTTTCTCCAGAGGCCCATTATACTAAAGGTGACCTGACATCATCTACCTGCTGACACAGAGCTACAAGGGGAAAATCAGTGCTTGGAAAGTGCTTAACAATGATGGAGGCTTATTGGGTGTTTAATCTTCATCTGTGTGAGCAGTATCAAATGATTCAAAAGAAAACAAGAGTACCTGCTTGGAGAAGGGAAAGGCTCAGGTGTATCTCTTCCAGGCCTGAGGAGTGGGGGTGGTAGCAGCACTGAGGATAGAGGAGGGGAAGGCTGTTTGCCAGTCACCTGGGGCTATTGCAGGCTAAATGAATGCAAGGCAAGTCTGACAGCAGAAAGCCATTGTGTGAACCTTAGCAAGGATGTGGTTGAGGAGGCACCTGGATTCTGGTGCTGGTGACTTAGGCCTTGAGGAATCCTACTCCTCATCCTCCTCCTCCTCTTCCTCTTCTTCAGAAGGCTGGAAGAAGGTTTCTGAGGAAATTTTGCTGGCAGCTGGTCTCTTAGGGGCTCGGCCAGTGGCTAGAGTCACAGGCAGAGGGGCCACTGTGGCTCGAACTCTGTTCGTGGGCAACTGCCCAGCCTGCAAAGAAAGCAAAGCCTTCTCTGAAGACCAGAGTTCCTGTCTTATCCCGTTCCCTGCTGGGAAACTCCTTCCCTAGGCCTGTCCCTGAAGTGACTGACAGCCTCAGGGGCTGGGTGGTGATGGTAGAGTCCCCCTGCTCCAGCCTCCAAAGTGCCTAAGGTGCTCTGCTCCTTACTTCTCCTCCGACCTCTAGATTATGGTTGGGAAACATCATTCTTATCTTCAGCTAAGGCAAAGGGAGAATTTTTCTAAAGGTTCTGTGACTGAGAGACTAGGAAAAAATAAGGGATAAGGGCCAAAGGAAGCCTAAATATTTTAGAATATGGATCTTATAAAAATAACCCCACCCTTGGTTACTCTTCTCCAACCCTTGTCTCCAAGCTATTTACTTTGGCTAGCCTCTCTTAACTTGCACGGATGCGGTGAGGATTAAATGAGAAAAACGTGTGTGAAAGCACTGTTGGGAAACCTGGCAAATAACGGGTGCTCAGTATAAGTTAATTTCCCTTCCCTTGGGCCTTTCTTTTTCTAACTTCCCTTTAGCCTTTTCTTTCAAAGAGAGCTGTGTTGCAGTTCCAGTGCAGCCAGTTTGCTTAGTGGGACAATGGTCTATTAAATGACTAACAAGGTATCATAAACACTACAATTAAGATACTTAAACATTATCATATGTAAATGCTCAAACAGAAAAGCCCTACCAGTTTGGGGTGTAACTTCTTTTGTCTAGGGTAAGGTCCTCCCTTTTTCTTCCCAGGTTGGCCTGTTGGTCAGGTTCTCCCCTCCACTTGGTGGGGTCCAGGCAGGTGGCTACTTACTCCCTTGGAGGAGGGAAGGGAAGGAGAGGACCGGATCTTTGGGATCTGAGCTTAAAGGGGAGGGAGGGAGGTAAAGAGGCGAGCTGTACCTTTCTCGGAACTCTGCTCTCCCAGCTCACATGGGGCCGCCCTGGAGTTTTGACAATGGTACTGCTCAAGTGTGAATACAGGTGGCTCCAAACCTGCAAGGGGTTGTAGGTGGGCTCTAGCTCCAGACCATCCAGCAGGCTCTGAGGAAAACAGAAGAGACTAAGCCAAAGAACTCAAGAGCTTGGGCTTGCAGAACACAAGATGTTAGGCAGAGACCCAGGAGTGTGAAGCTGAAAGAGGTAAGAAGACCCAGGGCTTCCTTGGAGGGGTGAAAGAGATGTATGTCCCACTGGGAGTTTGGACCCCCATTTTGAATGCTAGTGAGCTAAGTGTTGAAGCAGGAGCTACAGGGGAGGCTAGAAAAACTCAGTAATTCGACCCTCAAAAAGTGTGTTTTTGGGTTCTGACAGGGACTGGAGGGGCTAGCAGGGGTCTGGGGGTTGCAAGTATGTGTGTACAGGTCGATGTATATTGTGAGGGAGGCTGTATCCATGACCTGGGGGGTGCTTTCAGTCTCTGAGTACACCAAGTCCTCAGCCTGCGAGGTGAGAATGACCAGAGGACACGCGAGCACAGCATTCTTAAGCAGTCAGGTTTTCCGGCCACAACATCCTGTGCCAGGAACCATTGGCCCCAAACTGAGACGCTGAGGGAGCCATGGTGACTCGTGCCCACCGAGAGCACAATCCCAAGCTTGTCCTCTGCACAGAAGCTAACCATCCTACAGCAATATGGCTTCAGCCCTCCCAGCCCAGAGCCCGCCTCCCACCCTCAGAGGCCTGAGGAGCTGGCAGAGGAAATCCAGAATTCAGATCCAAGAAGAGAGGAGACAGAGAAAGAGAAAATGACCTTCAGAGCTGTTCTTTGCTTTACATATGAGTCTTATTCTGAATCTTTCTTATTCTCAGCGTCTCCATTGGCTGCCTTTTCCTCAACCAACAGAAATAGATGCACACACACAAAATGCAGCGAAAGACCCATGAGAATTCACCATCAAACACATGTCTACTTCCTTCTTCCAGGTCTCAGTTCCTAGACTTACCTCTTACCACACACTTGGACCCACTTCCTCCCTGCCCCCCCAAGATGACCCTCTGTCTGTCCCTCACAGGCTTGCTCCTTGCCCTCAACCCTTTCTAGAACTCCATTCTCTTCCCTCTACCCATCCCATAAGATCTGGGCTCCACTCACCTCCACAGTCTTAAGGCTGTCATCGGGAAGGTCCTCAGGTAGCAGAGGGAAAGGGCTGGGCAGCATCAGTTCCCTTGTGGCCACTGCTTTCACCAGCAAAGTGGGAGAGGGTGACGGTACTATCACATAGAAGGTGCTGGCAGCTTCTCGCAGGCTGTGTTCCCCGTTCAAGGGCTCCCCTTTGGCCAACAGCAACCATTCTCTTTTCTGAAAGAAGGACACATATAGATGCTGGTTCATCTTCATCTTTGGCATGCTTTGAAGATCAATCCCATCTGAGGCTTCCCTGAGTTCCTCTGGGGGTTTTGGGAAGGGCCAACTTATTTCAGCCTGGCCCTGAGAGGCAGGGCTATAACTGCCTGAACCATCAGTGCCCCAAGGTACTGCTCTTTCTCCCTCTAACAAAAGGGTTAACACTGTAAAGACAAGTTAAAAGATGTCCTTGCACTGAATAGGTGTTCACCCTAGAGGGGTGTGTATATAGAAATTCCTGTCTGCTATCTCATGGAATTAATAAGAATCTTTTGTTGTACACAGAAAAATCATGACCTCTAGAGTTTGAATCTACTGATTTTGAGACAAGATTCTGTTAGAGAACTGATATACAGACTTGGATGAGGTCTGTGAGGAATATAAGAGAACCGGGAAGAAACTGAGTTGAAATGACTTTACAGAATGTTTTAAAATGTCTGGGCTGATTTAGAGAGAGAATGGCAAAAGATTCTGGAAGGAAAAGAGGCAAATGCATCCTTATAATTTGATTAAAAATATTCAATCTTCAGTTTTCAAAATATTCTGGGAAAGCAAGAGATAGGAAGTTGAACAGTAAGGCCCCTATTTTGAACCCTGAATTTCTTTTTTTTTTAAATAAAGATTTATTTATTTATGCATACAGAACTGGTGTGTAGGCCAGAGGTGCAGGGGAGTGAGAGGATTCATCAGAGACAGAATAGGGCACAGAACAGGCAGGCTTACAAAGTACACTGCTGAGGGGAGGAGTGGACAGGTCAGGAGAGGTCTTCTGGGCCCTGCGGGGTCACCTCCATGGCTGGGGATCAAATTCTAATTTGTGTTGAACCAGCTGCAGCTAGCTTCCTAGTGCTAAGTTTTAACTCTTTGCGCCACAAGAGAGGGCCCTGGACCCTGAATTGCTAACTTCTTCCTGGATAGTATTTCATGGCTGCAGAGACTTGAAGTCCGGGACCCACACTGAAACATGGATTGATCTGTTAGAACAGGGAGTTGAACCTGTGGTGGAATTGGTTTACTGTCATAGCAGGTCTCTAGGCTGAGTAAAAGCACTGGCATAGGAAATGTCTTCTGGGGTGTCCTAGAAGAGCCATTGGGGTCCTCAGGTGAAACAATGTTAAATGATGGTAGATCATTGCTGAGTACTTTAGACTATGCATTTGCTATCCTAAAGAGTGGAACATGAGTTAGATGCTGAATTTATCAGAAGGCAGGTGAAAAGGTATCTACATTTATGTTGGTTGGGGCTTTATAGAAGGTGCCAGGGAGCTTAGATATTAGGAGGGAGGGTCAGATTCTGCTTTGGACAGGTGCAGAACTAAATAGCATGCTGTATTCCAAGATCAGCCTGCCCAAACTCATCCTCCCCTACCCCTGCTCTGATTTCTAATTTCTAAGGCTATGAAGAAGTTGGTATGGTAGCCTCTGTTGTTTTCTGACTGCCCCTTGCCCTCCCCCTTCCTGTTCTCTCTTCCATTTTTCAGTCTTTCAGTGATTGGTCTAAGGGCTGATATATGACCTAGGTTTAAATAATGAAACATAAGTAGAAGTTTCTGGATGGGGCTTCTGGAAAAATGTTTTACTATTCCCATACTGGCTCATACAATGTAGGCCAGGGGTAGATGATAACCTTCCAAACAGCCATTTATACATTCATTTCAAGGTGGAACTTTCTTTAAGGTCCATCATTTTGATAAGCCATAAAATAAATCACAGCAAATTTAAAAAGATTAAAATCATTGCAAACACAATGGAATGAAATTAGGAATCAAAAACAAAAAGAAAGTTGGAAAGTTGATAAATATGTGAAAGTTAAACCTATTCCTAAATAATAAATGAACTGAAGAAGAAATCACCAAGAAAATCAGAAAATAATTTGAGATGCCCAAATTTATGAAATAAAGCCAACACAGTGCTTAGAGAGAAATTTGTGGCAGAAAATTTTCTCTATTAAAATTAAAAGGACTATGGTGATGGCACACAGGTGATTTGGTGATGAGAAGCCCATGGGGATTACAACTGAGATGGAAAAATGCACCAAATGATGTAAAAAATAAACTATTATGTTATTTTAAAAATAAAATAAAATAAAAAGGAGGCCCTCCCTGGTGGTGCAAGGGGTTAAGTTTCAGCCACTGCAGCACAAGTTCAATCCTGGGCCAGGGAAGTGACCCACATGGCATAGCAGACCTCTCTTATCTTACCCGCTGCTCCCCTCAGCAGTGTATTTCAGTCAACCTGCCTGTTCTGTTCCCCATCACATCTCTGGCTTTTTTTTTTAATTAAAAAATACTTTATTTATTTATACATACAAGAACTGGGGTACAGGCCAGAGGTGCAGGGGCAGTGAGAGGATTCACCAGAAACATAGTTGGGAGCAGAACAGGTGGATAGGTGTAGTATACTGCTGAGGGAAGCAGGGGGCGAGACAGGAGAGGTCTGCTGTGCCATGTGGGTCACTTCCGGGTGGGGATCAAACTTGTACAGAAGGGGCCACAGGTTGGCTTAGCTTCTCATTGCAGCACTCCAACCCTTGGCACCACCAGGGAGGGCCCAATAAATAAAATCTTACAAAAGGGGAAGGACATTAAAAACAAAATACTAGAGTAGAAAGAAATTAAATGGAGAGTAGGTAAGCAATAGAACCAAAAGTAGATTCTTTAAACAGATCAACAAAATAGACAACATTTTAGATAGACAGATTAAGGAAAAAAAGAATATCCAAGTTACTAAGATCAGAATTAAAGTAGTATCACTGTAGCCTTGCCAAAATTAAAAGGGTTATAAAGGAATATAACAGTTATAAACAGTTGTAAGCCAATAAATTAGAAAACCTTGGTGAAATAGACATATTCCTAGAAAGATACAAGCTACTGTGACTGACTCAAGAAGAAATAGAAAATCTGAATATGTGAGGAGGTCCCCATGACCACTCTTGGGTACAATGATTTACTAAGGATTCACAAAACTCAGCATGTAGTTGTATATGATTTATCATAGAAAAAGTATGCAAAGCAAAATTAACAAAGGGAAATGGCTCATGGGTTGAAGTCCAGACGAAAGCAGGTACAAGTTTCTGAGTCCTCTACCAGTGGAGGTATGTACCTAAATTATACACTGAATTGTGACAACATATGCTAAGTGTTGTCTACTAGGAAAAGTCAGTAGAGACTCAGTACTCAACCTTTTTATTAGGGGATGCTCATGTAGGCATCCTGTACCTAGCACAAAATTTTAGACTCTTAGGAGAAAAACAGATGTTCAGCATAAACCATATATATATATATATACCCACACACACACACATACAAAATATATGATACACATATATAATATATATGACAAATATATATGACACACACATAATATATGACATATACATATTATATATGCATTTATAAATATATTTGTGTACAAACAGTTTAGACAAGTGAACCACTCTTATTATTTGGGGAATGGTGAAATCCAAGTTCCCAGATGGCAGCCAAGAGTCAGCCTTGCAAGCAGGACTTTCTCAGGTCAGGATTTCAGGATGGCTGTATAAAATTTTCTGTACAACCTATACTAAGTTAAGCTATAGAATTGGTAATCAGAAAAATTCCCACAAAAAACAGTCAAGGCCCAGATGGGCTACTCTGGTGAATTCTACCAAACATTTAAAGAAGAAATAACATTAATCTTTCACAAGTAGTTCTCAAAAATAGATGAAGGAATAGTTTCCAGTTCATTCTATAAGGCCAATAGTACCTGATCATAAAAATCAACGGTATTCTAAGAAAAAAAAATTACAGACCAATATTCCTTGTAAATAGAGATGCAAAACAAATGTTTCAACATACAGCTAGCCAAATCTAGCAATATATAAAAAGACTTATACACCTAGCAATTGCAAGGTTGGCTTAATATATAAAGCAATGTAATACAACAAGCACTTAAGTGACATAATTATCTTAAGAGATGTAGAAAAATCATTTGATAAAATCTAAAATTCTTTCATCATAAAAATGCTTAAAAAAATAGGAATAGAATGCAACTTTCTCAACTTGGCAAAGGTTGCAAAACCAACAGCTAACATCATAGGTAGTGGTGAAAAGCTGCCTGCTTTGTCCCTAGATCAACAATAAGACAAAGATGTCTGCTCTTGCCACCTATTCAACAATTTATAGACAGTGTATCGAACACCAGAGGGCTATTTCTGACATATTCTGGGTTACATTAGCCCCCTAGGATCTGACTCTAGGTAGGAGGAGAAGCCCTCATAAAGATACTGTAATAACATTCTGGTACTTAGGACTAATATTTAAAACCATTGATTAAGAAAAATATAGTAATGTGATATTTCTTCTATCAGAGAGCTAGGCAAATTAATATCACTTATCAGTGCTGTGAAGGTTAAGACATATGTGGCAACAGGTACATAGGTGGGGAAGGATGAGTAGACAGGCAGGGAAAGCGTCACAGTGAGGTATTCAAGCAGTATCTGGGGGAACAAATGAGCAGATGTTCATCAGATGAACAGAGATGTGGTGAAGAGAGCACTAAGAAAAAAGGTGTGGGGGCTGGGAACAGTTTTACACTTGGAGGACACTTAGTAGTTTTATTAGTATGGCTGGAGTGGAGGATGAAGGCTATGGTAAAAGATGAATCAAGAGAAATGAACAAGAGCATGCTAATCTCCTGTCCCAATATCTGTTTACACAACAGCCTCTGCAGTCTGACCTCATTCTGATATTTTTTCCCCCAAATGGCTCCTGACCTGCCAGCACCCTACTCTCAGCTTGGATTCTTGTTCTTGAATCTTTGCCGAAAAATAACCAAGGACTTTCCATTCCCCCACCCATTTACAGCCCAGCCAGGTCATCACTGTGTATTCAGACTCCTGCTGGACACATCCTGGCTTGAATCCCGTCACTTCTGTCGCCAATTAGGGCAGACAAGGCCCGTACAATTCTGGAATG